CAAATGACAAAAGCACAAGGGTAAAAATTTGCATGTCTTTATCACTGATATTGGAAGTGACATTTTCTGGCATTACAGGTAGGCTCTGGAGTCTCTCACAAACGTGGTTTCCTCTTTATCACTGCTGTGGTGCTCTTTTCTAAACCTCTGTGTGGATTGAGCTTCTTTTCTCTACTCCAAAAGACAAACCAATCTGCTTATCTTAAAATCCAGAGGGAGAAAAGGCGTTTGTTTCTGCAGATTGAAATATTACGCCCTACAGTAACATTCTAAGGAAGTGAATGGGTGGGAGGTGGAGATTTTTTTTTGTTGCCATGTGTGGTTTTCTCATTATGTGGAACTGAATGTCTAACAGTGAGAAAGGGGGAAAAAAAAAACTGCTGGCCTTTGACACGCCTCCACAGATATTTATATGTAGTGACAGCAAGGTTTTTTTCTCTCTACGCTCTTATTTATTACTACGGAAGCCGAATGCGGTCGTACTCGTCTAACTATCTCGTTATCATGGTTAAACAATGAGTTGTTTACTCGAGATAACAAGATAATTATCTCGTTATCACAAGGAAACAATTACTGATTTCATGAGATAACGAGATGATTAACCTGTATTAGTAATGAGTGATGCTGGCCAACACCCTGGATTTCCAGTTCATCCATGCCTGCGGTGCCCGTAGTTCTGCAGTCGCAATACCACCTGTGTGCAAATAATCAGTTTTTTAAATTCCCCATTTCTTTTCACTCATTGTCAGGTCTGGTGGATGGTTGTATTGCATGGAATACAGTAGAAAATAAATCGTATTGTTTTATTACACATTTATTATTAAGGAATATAACTCTATGAAACATGGACATAGTGGCTCTAAAAACTATTCAAGCCTCAATACCCTAGGATCTTTTCACATATTGTCTACAAAAACCACAAACCCCAATTTAACTCTCTAATTTGTAGATGGTTGTTTCTTCAAACAACGCATCTTTACACATAATTGTAAACCAAATGGAGGAAAAGCAGTTTATAAACTTTAAAAAAATAAATAAATCTGGAATGTCAAGTATTCAACTATTTTACTTCAACAACCATCAATATAATTCTGCTTAATAAATTCCATTCATATTGTATCCTAATAAAGTAATAGCGTCTATCTTAAATTTCAGTAAAAAACATTGAGACCTATATACGAAGACTAGAGAACATACCAAACAGGTCAGGAATAAAGTTGTATAAAACTTTACACTATAGACAGGTTTAAAAGAAATTTCCAGGTAAAAACATGGGGTGTTGCTATATTTAATCTAAAAATATATTGAGTATAGGTATGGTTTAGCATGACAAGGGACATTGCCCTTCATCTATTTACCAGTCATGCTAGTAGAGTGTTAGGATAATCATCATTGATGATGTGTGAGTTTATTTCACCTTGGTATTGGGTGCCTGTTGCATGTCAGAACTGATGTTTTCCACAATAGTTTATCCAATTAAGACAGTTCCTCAGTCTGCATATAGAGTTCTAATTTAATACTGTACGTCGCAAAGATTTGGAAATGGAATGAGAGCGGTGTCCTTTAGCTAAGAACAAAGTGTGATATTTTGATAAGGCTGGAGCCATGGATGTCTACTCATCTGCTAACGTCTATGATATAATGATGTGGCATACAGGAGGTATAAAAAGCCTTTTTAACTGTTAATCGGGGCCACTTCCTGAGAGGTGAGCCCGGAGGTGAGCAGCTATTATTTTGTAAACTTTAAGCAACTTCTCTGATCAGAGTAAGATTACCATTAATATTACTGTCTGTTGTCATGTCTCCTGGTTATTTAATCCATATAAGCTATGAAGTGTTATTTAAAGAGTTTGTCCAGAGTGATCTCTTATCAGGAAAAAACAACCAGAGAGATAGAGCTTCAAGGTGCATACACAGAGCCTATCTTTAACAAGAGACATATCCAAATATCCTTTTTCTAAGTTGTAAATGGGGAAATACAGATTGTATTCTCTTGAGGTTTGCTTTTGTTATCAGTTGCACACGCAACATTTGTAATTAACATGCTAACTTACTGTGTTTTACTCACATATTTTCTTTTGGACCAAAAAAATGTAGCACTGTTTATTTTGAATCTCTGAACCCCATATTGTTTTAGAATGCAATAAAAATTTGGACTAAAAATGTGTAGACCTTACTTATATCTATTCATTCTACTAGGTAAGTTTAGCAGACATTACAGAAGTAAGTAAAAAACAGACCATGTGGAAAATATGTCCGTTTCTACTTCCATTGGATTTTGATTAGACACAATAGTCCAGACAGGCAGATGTAAAACTTAAGCAATTAAAGGCTTTAACTCAGCTTAAGCTATTGAACAGCCTTTGGAAAATCCAACAAATGACAGACACTAACAGGCAGGAAGGAAGAAAGAAAGGAAGGGAGACAAACAGGCAGGAAGAAGCAAGAGACTCCTTCGGGAGACTAAATGCTCTTTGCAGCTCTAGTGAAAATAATGACTTACCAAATGGAGCACTTTAAGGAAATTCACACTCAATTCTGTGACTCTCTTCCATTCTCCCTACCCTCAGTATCCCTCTCACTCTTTACTTCCCCGTTACATTGTCTTCTCTGTCTCCCCTGGGGAATAATACACACAGCTCCCAAAAAGCAGCTAGAAACTAAAGCTTTAGCTTAATATCCACACATTCACAGACACAGAAATGGATGCAGCACAGGTAGGTGGTATACACCTGTGAAACCTTGGCATGAATGTTGACCTTTTCACATGAGCCATGTTTCTCATAAATGTCTTCTTTTTGTGTGCTTGCTTTTCAGTGAGTCTATCTGTGTGTCTCCATCACATTTTTACGTCCCGTGTGTTCGTGTCTCTGGCTCTGAATCTCAACACAGAGTTGACCTTTCCATCCCAGGTTTGTCTCATATTAGAACTGACACAGCCCTCTGCTATGGGCCAAGCTGATACCCATACTGACAACAATGCATACATTTTCTTTCTCACTCAAACACACACTTATAAAAAAACAAACAGAAAAAATGCACAGAAATGCATAGACACTTAGACAAAACTGTTGGTGCCCCTCCTTTAATGAAAGAAAAACCCACAATGGTCACAGAAATAATGAATGTCTTTAAAAAATAATAAACATTTCTATGAAAAGTGAAAAAAATGTCAGACACCGATTTTTCTCCATGCTTCAACAGAAATATTTTAAAAAATAAACATTACTAACCTTTACTCAATATTTTGTTTCACAACCTTTTGAAGATACACTATATTGCCAAAAGTATTTGCTCACCTGCCTTGACTCACATATGAGCTTAAGTGACATCCCGTTCCTAATCCATAGGGTTCAATATGACGTCGGTCCACCCTTTGCAGCTAGAACAGCTTCAACTCTTCTGGGAAGGCTGTCCACAAGGTTTAGGAGTGTGTTTATGGGAATTTTTGACCATTCTTCCAGAAGCGCATTTGTGAGGTCGCACACTGATGTTGGACGAGAAGGCCTGGCTCTCAGTCTCCGCTCTAATTCATCCCAAAGGTGTTCTATCGGGTTGAGGTCAGGACTCTGTGCAGGCCAGTCAAGTTCATCCACACCAGACTCTGTCATCCATGTCTTTATGGACCTTGCTTTGTGCACTGGTGCACAGTCATGTTGGAAGAGGAAGGGGCCAGCTCCAAACTGTTCCCACAAAGTTGGGAGCATGGAATTGTCCAAAATGTCTTGGTATGCTGAAGCATTCAGAGTTCCTTTCACTGGAACTAAGGGGCCAAGCCCAGCTCCTGAAAAACAACCCCACACCATAATCCCCCCTCCACCAAACTTTACACTTGGCACAATGCAGTCAGACAAGTACCGTTCTCCTGGCAACCGCCAAACCCAGACCCGTCCATCAGATTGCCAGATGGAGAAGCGCGATTCGTCACTCCAGAGAACGCGTCTCCACTGCTCTAGAGTCCAGTGGCGGCGTGCTTTACACCACCGCATCCGACGCTTTGCATTGCACTTGGTGATGTATGGCTTGGATGCAGCTGCTCGACCATGGAAACCCATTCCATGAAGCTCTCTGCGCACTGTTCTTGAGCTAATCTGAAGGCCACATGAAGTTTGGAGGTCTGTAGTGATTGACTCTGCAGAAAGTTGGCGACCTCTTCGCACTATGCGCTTCAGCATCCGCTGACCCCGCTTCGTCAGTTTACGTGGCCTACCACTTCGTGGCTGAGTTGCTGTCGTTCCCAAACACTTCCATTTTCTTATAATACAGCTGACAGTTGACTGTGGAATATTTAGGAGCGAGGAAATTTCACGACTGGATTTGTTGCACAGGTGGCATCCTATCACAGTTCCACGCTGGAATTCACTGAGCTCCTGAGAGCGACCCATTCTTTCACAAATGTTTGTAAAAACATTCTGCATGCCTAGGTGCTTGAATTTATACACCTGTGGCCATGGAAGTGATTGGAACACCTGATTCCAATAATTTGGATGGGTGAGCAAATACTTTTGGCAATATAGTGTATGACTGCAATCAAACAATTTCTGTAACTGTCAATGAGACTTCTGCACCTCTCAGCAGGTAATTTAGCCCACTCACCATTAGCAGACGGCTCCAATTGTCTTTGAAAGGTGTCTTTTTCAAATTGCATGTTTCAGCCTCTACCAAATAGCAGTTAGGTCAGGGCTCTTGGGTCACCTCAGAATAGTCCAATGACTTCCTCGTTGCAATTCTTCTGTCTTTAGCTGTGTATTTTGTGTCATTATCCTGCTGCAAGACTTAGGACTTGCTACAGAGAAAAAGCTTTCGGCAATGGATAGCACATTTCACTCTAGTATCAATTAATAGTCTTAAATGTCATTGCACCCTGCAGATTTAAGACACTCGTGACAGATGAAGCAAAGCAGCTCCTGATCATAACACAGCCTCCTCTATGGTTCACAGTAGGAACAGTGTACTTGTTGGGATCTGGAGTTGTTCCACCTTTCCCCAGCAGAGTGCGCCATGGGTTCTCTGGGCTGAAGCTCACCAGCACACCTGGAGCTCGTCAGCCCATTAGAGGACCCTCTACTTAAGCAGATGCCAGACCTTTCTTCGACGCCGCAGTGTTAGCTAAGTTTGGTTAGCGAACCTGAGCCTCCTTGTCTTTGATTTTGTCCCCTAGAGAAAACTGAATCCTAACCAGCCTTTGTCTTGTCACTCCTAGGAAAACCTGTCTCTCGTGTGAAGCTCTGAGAGAGCTTAACCTGAATCTGCCTGCCTGCCCTAGAGAGCCAAACCTAAAGATCTCACTTTGGAATCCACCTGCTGCTCTCGGAAGGAGAGCTAACCCCTCAATCCAAGGTCTGATCCAACAGTCAGAAGTTAGACACTGCACCTGCTGAGCACTCTGTCAAACCAACAGTCTCTGGACCCAACCGGTTCCCCCCCTCTGAGAAGAAAGCCTGAAACTCTCCAAGGTATAATCTGCAAAAATCTGAAAACTAAACAACGCTTCCAATCCTCCTGGTTAACCAAACTGTCATCTCTGCAGACGCCTGAGAATCCAGCCCGGACCTGTTTCCTGAACGCAGTCTTATTTTGTGCAAACATTTAATAAACTCTGTTAAACTTTTCATCTGTCTCCTGGTAGTGTTCTGCATGTGGGTTTGATTCAGAACCAATCATGACAGTACTTTTCTTGATATGCTACAGTTTTCCATCTGTGAACATAGAGTTGATGTGTCTCATACTGTATGTCCATTGGACATTTTCCCAGAAGCCTTGTGGCATGTCAACATATAGCTTTGCAAATTACATTCTGGCTTTTTTGATAAATTATTTTCATGAAATGATTCCTTCTTGGTCATTTCCCATTAAGTCCACTTTGACTCAAATAACGACTGATACGACCCAACACTGATGTTCCTCGAGCTCAAACTTAACTTTTAATCATTTTAGAAGTTTTTCTAGGTTCTTTTGTCATCATTCATTTTATCTGTCTCTTTGTTATGTCATCAATGTTCTTCCCGTGGAGACATCCAGGAAGGTTAACTAAGATCCAATGGACCTTAGATTTCTAAATACTATGTGCAGCTGCCGTCACAAGAACAGCTAACTGCATTGGAGATTGTCTTAAAGCCTTTACCTTTAACATGCTTTTCTATAATTTTCTGTCTAACCTCCTGAGGCAACTTTTTAATTCATTTCCTCTGGTCCATGATGAGGGCGGTACATGCCCTGACACATAAATGCTCCAGTAGCCCTATATATATGCCCAGTGACTGACTACAAAACTTCATAAAGCTGGGATGCCAAATAGTAAACATACCTTAATTTAACATATCCCTTTGGTTCCATTATTTTCAGTTTTTCCTAGGGGTACCATAATTTTTGTCCAGGCCTGTTTCATGAGTTTATTTTTATTTTATTTTTTATCATTCTGTTGAATCATTATTTTAAAGCCATATATGATTTTCATTTGTCCATTTTCATCAAGCTTTTATTTTTCATTTAACTTTTTTTGTTTTTTCGGGGTGACCACTGTGGGTTTTATCTTTCATTACTCTAAGGGGACCAAAGAATTTGTCTGTGTGTATGTGCTGCTGTAAGGTAAGGTCCGAACATCTTCAAAGGTCATCTGTTAAGGGCCATTTTCAAAACTTGATTAAAATGCCTTTGGCATTCTTTAACTGCTAAGGGGAATGTTAATTCTTACATTTTTAGGGCATTCATAAGTAATGCAATCTTTATTTTGCTAAATGCCATTATACAACAGGGTTTTTTTGGTCGTTGTTGTAATACAGCAAGTCCTATACTAGAGTGAGCAAAAAAGCTACCCAGGTAAAGAAAGAGATGAAAACATACGAAGCTTATAAATCCACATAAACCTTATTTATGGACGATCTATGCATATCACCAGCTGGTGTATCTAGGTTTAAAAATTTTCCTAACATTATTTCAAGAACAAAATAATTACAAGTAGGCTAAGTTAGCAATTGTGCTGAAAAGAAAGGAGAAAGAGATGATAGGAGAAGAGTGGAAGAAAAAAGAACTCTTTGAACTGTTTCCCTTTAGCAGATTTGACTTGTTCACCCAGGAGCATGGGCATATACACTATATTGCCAAAAGTATTTGCTCACCCATCCAAATTATTGGAATCAGGTGTTCCAATCACTTCCATGGCCACAGGTGTATAAATTCAAGCACCTAGGCATGCAGACTGTTTTTACAAACATTTGTGAAAGAATGGGTCGCTCTCAGGAGCTCAGTGAATTCCAGCGTGGAACTGTGATAGGATGCCACCTGTGCAACAAATCCAGTCGTGAAATTTCCTCGCTCCTAAATATTCCACAGTCAACTGTCAGCTGTATTATAAGAAAATGGAAGTGTTTGGGAACGACAGCAACTCAGCCACGAAGTGGTAGGCCACGTAAACTGACGGAGCGGGGTCAGCGGATGCTGACGCGCATAGTGCGAAGAGGTCGCCAACTTTCTGCAGAGTCAATCACTACAGACCTCCAAACTTCATGTGGCCTTCAGATTAGCTCAAGAACAGTGCGCAGAGAGCTTCATGGAATGGGTTTCCATGGTCGAGCAGCTGCATCCAAGCCATACATCACCAAGTGCAATGCAAAGCGTCGGATGCGGTGGTGTAAAGCACGCCGCCACTGGACTCTAGAGCAGTGGAGACGCGTTCTCTGGAGTGACGAATCGCGCTTCTCCATCTGGCAATCTGATGGACGGGTCTGGGTTTGGCGGTTGCCAGGAGAACGGTACTTGTCTGACTGCATTGTGCCAAGTGTAAAGTTTGGTGGAAGGGGGATTATGGTGTGGGGTTGTTTTTCAGGAGCTGGGCTTGGCCCCTTAGTTCCAGTGAAAGGAACTCTGAATGCTTCAGCATACCAAGACATTTTGGACAATTCCATGCTCCCAACTTTGTGGGAACAGTTTGGAGCTGGCCCCTTCCTCTTCCAACATGACTGTGCACCAGTGCACAAAGCAAGGTCCATAAAGACATGGATGACAGAGTCTGGTGTGGATGAACTTGACTGGCCTGCACAGAGTCCTGACCTCAACCCGATAGAACACCTTTGGGATGAATTAGAGCGGAGACTGAGAGCCAGGCCTTCTCGTCCAACATCAGTGTGCGACCTCACAAATGCGCTTCTGGAAGAATGGTCAAAAATTCCCATAAACACACTCCTAAACCTTGTGGACAGCCTTCCCAGAAGAGTTGAAGCTGTTCTAGCTGCAAAGGGTGGACCGACGTCATATTGAACCCTATGGATTAGGAACGGGATGTCACTTAAGCTCATATGTGAGTCAAGGCAGGTGAGCAAATACTTTTGGCAATATAGTGTATGTGCTGTTGGTGGTGGACATGTTGCTGACGCTGTGGGAGAGAGACCCGAGAATAAAGCTCAGACTGAACTGAGCAACACTCCATTTCACTGATCGCTGAGCAGCATCTCAGCCACTGCCACAGGGGATAAGCTCACTTACCTGGTATGTGTGTGAGTGTCTGTCTAAGGGCCGATGTAAATGCACATATCTATCTCTAGTCATCCTTGGTTGAACTGGTGTGGTGATACTGTTTTTTTTTTTTTTTTTTTTTTTTTTTATCTTCCTATCTGTGTGCATGAACACACGTGTGAGTATAAGCGGAGTCAGACTATTTCAAAAAGCTGTGGGTGTTTTTTTCCCCCCTCAGTGACAGCTGTTGCTCTATGAATAGCTGTTTGGACAATAGATTTTGAGGCTAGTCATTTAACCTGACAAGTGACCCCATCGCTCACTGCTCCATCTACAGGAGGTAGGGGACAAAAAAGTCAAAAAGCTCTAGACTGAGGGGTCTAAAGCTCCAGTATTTGAGTCCCACTGTCTGCAACTTTCACATGAATTCATGTTTCAAGACACCTGATTCGGAGGTCTGAATTCCCTCCATGGTATGTAAGCAGGTTCTGTTATAAATGATAGTAGTCTCATTTGTAACATATTGTTTAGGATCCATATTAAAAGTGTATTTACATCCAACACCTAAAATAAAACCTGTGCAAAAAAAAAGGTTTATAAAACTATGTGTACTCAAACAAAAACAAGCGAAGTCCTTTATACATCATAGCTCTTGGTGCCCAAGGCTCCATCTCCTAATTCAGAATTTTTGATATTTTCTTACAATTGTTCCTGAATTATATTTTTTTTCTCCAGGTAGGGTTAATGGTTTATATCAAACCCCCCTCTATATAGTGATGGAGGGATTTAGGGGTAAGGGCGGATGTTCGGACACAGCTGTAGTTAAGTCATTTGATTCAGGTGTGAAGGGCACGGAAACAAAAATTAAAGTTCCATGACAACATCCCTTTGGAATTTTAGTTTGAGACCCCTGGGTTAAGAAGTAGATATGAATTTGAAATGGGACCTAAACTGTGGCCAAATCATGAGTGTGGAGACCACTATGGGATTTGAAATGACAATAGATAATTTAATACATAGTGATGAATTAGTAATAAAGACGAGAAGAAAAGACTGAGTCATTTATTGAATTTCAAGTCTATACCAAATCAAATTAGGTGAATTTATAAATCCAATTTATGAATATGTGAAGATTAGTGATAGCAAAATGGGTAGGGAAAGACCACCAATAGGAATAAATTGTTGGAAAAGAGGGAGTCTCAGTCCCTAGAGCAAAATACAAACAAAACAAAAACATCTTGTCTAAAAGCTAGAAAATTTATTTGGGTAAACATAAAGAACATAAAAAGAGGCATCTGGGTAGCACATTTTAATATTATTAATACTGCCAATTAATGAGAAAGGGGAAGAGTCCAACCTCTAGGGAGCTGATGCAAATCATTACAAGAGGGTGGCAAGCTTTTTTTTTGAAAACAGTAAAGGCAAAGTATGAATAATATCAATTCCCAAATACTTAAACTCAGAGGAGCTAAGTTTAAAGGTATTGTCAGACTGCTTGAGTTCCAAAGCCAAAGAACTGAATAGGTAGAATTTACTTTAATGTGTATTAAGTTAATTTTATACACAGAGAAAGATACAACTTTCTGTTGATAAAATTGGAGGAAGACTACATAAAACATTGAAACAAATAAAATATTACCATTTGCATACAAGGATAGATTAGTATCAGTACCAGAGATGATAATTCCATGAAAGAAAAGATATAGGAATTTTCAGAGCAAGAGAAAGAGGTTCTGTGTCAAACAGTGTCTAGTGCTACAACCCAGTAGAAAGTAATTAGATTGAACAAAGTAGTTATGAAAAAGGCCTGAGTGGATGCATAAAGTAGTTATAATCCAGGACCCAAACTTTTCACCAAAAGCAAACCTACTGGGATGGCAAAGAGGTGGTTCAATTCTTGGCATCAAGAGAAATAATTATGTGAGGCCATAAAACTGCTCCACGGGCGCTGCACAATGGCAACCCACTGGTCCCCAACGGGACGGGTTAAACGTTACTCTGTACTTGTGACAGTGTAATGACAATAAAGAAACTGAAAAAAAAAAAATTAATAAAATAATCTGTTACTTCATTTAAAAGTAGGAAAGTCATTGATTGCTGACAGAATAAAATTACTTTATAGCTAGAATTAAATCTACATTCTGACCAAGCTTGGAGTGTATT